ATAAGAATTAAAAATTCACAGAGCATTCTACAACCAGAATCTCTGCCTAATTTGCTTAACATGCAAAGAAGTTCCAGTATTGTCATTGCACTTAGGACCTTACAGCATTCCACCTGAATCCTGTAGTTGCTGTTATGAAAGGATGGAACACAGGCACAACAGACAGCTTCTCTCGAACCCAATGGAAGTTTAGTTACCAAGCTCCACACAACTAACCTTCATCCAATGCACTCATTTGATCAGAACAGCTATTAAGTGAGCACAGGTCTGAAGGAGCTGCCAGTGCCACCACCCCTGAAATACTACAGGTGATTCTTTCCAGTATACTGACACTGCAGAGGAGCAGCTGGCATTTAATGACATTATCTACACTATAAGTAGTTAATTCTGTCCACATTCAGCAATTAATCTAAATAACATCATCCCACCCTCAGCCCTAAGAGCTCTTGGAGTTCTGCACCCCATCCCACCTGTGCCATGTGGTCAGCATTTGCACTCAGGACAGTTTTCAGGCGGTTGGCCTCCTTCAGCAGCTTGGCCATGGCCCGGGGATTCTTTCGGACATCTTTCAAGGGGTGCTGATCATTAAAGAGTTTTGCCAAATAATCTCGGAGACGAAGCTCCATCTCCAAACCTCCAAGAGTGCGGTCAAACCTGAGCAAAAGAAAGAACCAAGACAGAATAAGCTGTGGCGGGTTGAAAGCAAAGAAACTTCACGTATTATTTCAGAGCAGAAAGCGGTCAAAAATGGCTGATGTACTGTCAGCTGTGACTGCAAAAGAGTAACAATTACCCCCAAAAATCATGTCAAGAAAAGAAAGATTCACCACCACGGTAGCCACTGAAGAAGAAATATCACGATGTTTATGGCAAAGGCCTTATTGCTAAGCACATCAAACAGCTGAAAAGCCAAGCCATGACTGTGCCAGGTCCTAGGTATCTTGTCAGCAACAGTACTGTGTTCTAGAGTTCAAATTGCTGAGCTGAACACGTAAAGCAACTCTCCCCTTTCTTATTTGGCAACGTTTAACTGCAGTGCATTTTCACTCCTCTCCAGAAGGATATTCCACTTTTTTCAAACTGTCATGTTCTACTTCTGTAATGCTGTATGAAATGGGATTGAACAAAAATGGATTGAAGCTGTTTAAACAACAAGAAAAATAAAAAGCAGCAGTCTGAAATAGACTAAGTATCAATGTTACTTCCTGGGCTCCTGCAAATTCTCAACTACCTTCTGCATGAGACAGTGATGTCAGAATTATTAATAACCATAGCCATCTCACTCTAAATGTTTTCCACTTTGTTATCCAAATTACCATCCTGAAGTCTCACCGAAAAAAATCTGTGCAAAAGAGACCATGAAACAGAAGATTTCTTTCCTGAGACCTGCAGGTTTTGTGAGACTCGTGTTGAATTCTTACCCAATGCCCTGGATCTGCAACTGAGGTTGGGTTCCCGAGTCCTTAGTTTTCACTGTCTGATAGGTAACAACAGTACAAACGGTGCTTCCTGCTCCCATGTCGTAAAACATGATATTCTGAAAAGAGAAGCTGGGACAGTGAAGCAGAAACACCTCGATATCCCCCATGAACAAGGAAAGAACCCACGGCTTTCCAAGCCTGATAGAACACTAAGTTTATCCATGCCCTGGACGAGCTTTACTCCATATGACAGCCATGCAGGACTTGTGCTTCAATCAAAAATAAGGAGACGTTCAGGATCATATATGACAAGCAGACAAGAAAGTTTTTTCAATCATTCTATAAATCAGAAAACAAAGCTTTGCTCTTTCAAAGTTTCTTAAACCTCAGCAAGATCAACTAGTTCAGAGTCAGCCATCCAAAACCTCAAAAAACTGCTGATATTATTCCCCACCAGCTGACGAGCAAGGAACAAACAGCCTTACAAGATGTGAATTCCTATCCACTTAGCTTTCACCACAGAAGCTCTGTGGACTCTACGGCCGTACCCCACACACACAGAGTTTAATCTCTTCATCTCATTGATGAACACATGAAGACCAAGGAAACTAGCTGAACAGCAGGTCTGTTTCCTCACTGTTATGGTATTTTGACTTTTCACTCTGTAGCACTCTCTCCCTGCATGCATGCAGTGTGGTACTCTGCATCTCCCAGTGACACCTACCTGTGCAGTGGCATTGATGTCTTTCCTCCTGAAAACTCCATAGTTCAAAGCTACAGCAGTGTTGTCATTGATCAACTGCAGAACCTTCAAGTCAGCCATGCGAGCAGCATGCAGCACTGCTCTCCTCTCTGCCTGGTTGAAGTAGGCAGGAACAGTGATCACTGCATCCTTGATGGGCTGCTCTGAAACAGACATGTTGTTCCATTAGAGCAACCACATGCAAATACATTATAACACAATAACAGCTATTTAAGTCCTATAATACATAAACATATGCAGATACTGTAAGAAATAGATAAATCTTTCCAACCTGCAAATTCCTCAGCCAGACCACGTGAATAGTTCAGGACCATACCAAGCATCTCCTCCGGGGAATACTGTAATGCTCTATGACAAAGAGGAGAAGTTTGCAAATACAGTCAGCAATGCAAGTCCAACAGCAGAAGTCCTACCCAGCAGGAACCCAGAAGCAGTCACTTACTGTGACAGCTTGAAGATAACTGTCTGTCTTTTCTCATCCTTCACCAGCTCATGCTCTGGGAATCGGGACTGGTACAGTGCCACTTGAGGGTTATCAATCTGTTTACCGAGCAGATCTTGAAAGTATCTGAAGGCCACCTTGGGGGTCTTTATAGACTACAGAAAGAAAGAAAATCATCCAACTGCATCTCTTTGGCTCGGTTACTGTCTAACAAACCTCTCTCCAGAGCAGAAACACGCATTCTGTGCATAAGAATTGCAGCTGGCGTAATAAGTAACAAGAATTCTTACCATTCCTAGTGCGCTATCACCAAAGAGCCGCTCACTCTCCTTCAAAGCAACAGCCACGGGTGTTTTCCTCCGTGATTCCCTGTACAGAAAGGAAATACAAGTCAACACTCAAAGCAGAAGTCCTTGTGACAGATGGCAGCATTTTCACTTCAGAAAGACTGCAGCAAGATGCTCAGATACCACCTACTGAGAGGAAGACAAACTCCACCAATTGGAAGCGCTGCAGTAACACCACTCTAGAAAATTTTCATACTTTCTAACATTCCTTACAATAAGCTTGACTGAAACATGGACAGAAACCTTTTAAATTAATAACTGAAGCTGAGGAGCAGACCACTGTTTTTCCCATAACACCAGAGAACTTCAGAATGGACGCATCCTCTCTGCTACAAATCCAGCATGAATGCCCTAGAAAGAGTATTTCACTACAACAACTACCAAACGGCTCCAATTTGTCCACTAAGCTCACAAATACCTCTGTGTGCCATCCATTTCTGAATGCCTTGTAACACAACAGCAGTCTTCTAACAAAGCTACAAGAAAACAACTTGCCCTGAAGAGCAAAGACTCACAAGTCATTTTCTGGAACACGCTACTTCATGATTAGACAAAACTTGCTTTATTTTTGCTTTCTTCCACCAGTGAGCAAAGCAAGCCAGCTTCTGCCAATGCCTGCCAAGTTTCAGAGTGAAAAATGCATTTGTCATCTGCCTGAGCCTAGACTCCTATGAAGCAAGGATGGTCCTGAGTGCACATGCTCTCCAAGCTGCAGTTTCTCCATTTACTGTCTTGAGGACTGGAACTGGCGATAGCACCCAAGCGAGAGGAGGGTTTTATTCACTTCACAAGTGACTGTGGGTTGTGGCAGGTGCAGGAAAACGAACCAGCCTTCGTGCTCCCTTATGGAGAAGTGATAACCCAGCTTCTTAACTCTACACACAGAAACACGATACCACATCCTCTCATGTTTGTAGCACAAGGTATTATTCAGACTGTGGGCTGCCTGCTTTTAAGACTTCCTCCCCCTCACAAAGAGGGACCAAGCATCCTGAGAGAAGGGTAAAGGCCAAGCTGCCGCCCAGCTGCTCAGGTGTGTGCTCCACAGCCATGTCAGGAAGCACGAGTGCTGAACTCAGAGCACTCTATGCTACATGGAAGGGGATGTTCCTCTTGTGCCGCAGGAACAGAATTATTTGAGCTCCCCCACGATCCCAAAGTTCCAGCCCCTAAAAACCCCCACGTGAGCGGCAGCCCACAGCCGACAGCTGCAGGTAGGTGCGCCCGAAGGACAGCAGCTTACTTGTTCAGGACAATTTCCATCGGCACGCCAGGCTTCACAATGGCAATCTTCATGGACTCGCTGCCCATGTCCACGGACATCACAGCCAGCGGCTCTGCGGCATGGCAGGAAACAGACGTGAGCGCTCGTCCCGAGGGCGGAGGCTGCTCGGCACCGCATGGCCACCAGCCGTCCCCGAGCGGCCGGGGCTGCGCCGGCCCAAACACGGCATCGGGGCCGCTATCGCCCGAGCCGGGCCCGGCGGCACGCGGAGGAACGGCAGCCCCCCACATCCCGCCCTCCCACGCGGCGGCCCGGCCGAGTACCTGCGTGCGGCAAGCAGCAGGCGAGCAGCATCCAGCCCAGCATCCAACGGGGCGCCCGCGCCATCCTCCCGGCCATCGCGGCTCCCGGCCCGCTGCGGCGGCGCGCCGCCCCCCTCCCGCCCGCCGCTGCGTCCGCGGCTCCGCGGCTCGCGCAACCCCCGGCCCGGACGCGGCACGAGCCCATTGGCGCGGACGGCGATGCCGGGAGCCGCACGCCCAATCCGGCCGGCCCGCGCGCCCCCATTGGGCCACGTCGGGGAAAGCCGGAAGCCGGCATGACGGGAGCCGCGCCGCCATTGGCCGGGCACGCCGGGGTGGGCGGAAGCGCGCGTGACGGCGCGACGCGTGCGCGCAGCAGTACCTCCGCGGTGACAAAGGAGCGGGCCGTCCGTTGCCCGCGAGCGCCCCCTGGCGGCCGGAGGACCCCGCCCCTCCCCGGCCTCGCGCCGCACGGTTTCACATCTCAGTGCTCTGACGCGTTTCCAGTAAATTGTTTTTAAAAAGTTAACATAAAAAACAAAAAACAAAAAACCCGCCCGTGGCCGCGCCCGCAGAGCTCTGTGCAGCCCGGCTTCGCCCAGCCCGGCCCTCAGTTCATGAACTGCGTGTATCCCTCGGCCCCCGTGACAATGACGTCCATCCAGATGCGCATGGCCTCGGCCGACGGGGCCACCATGAAGTAGAGGCGGTCGTGGGTCTTCACGCAGAACGTCAGCGCGGGGTTGGGGCTCTGCAAGGAGAGCGCAGGTCAGCATGGCAGTGGGCTCCCTCAGCCCCTCCCACCCACCCACATTCCGGGACACAACGCGGCAGCCGCAGCCTGGGATCACCTTAGCGGCGCTCCGGAGGTGGTCGTAGTACACCTCTTCGATGGCTTGGAAGTAGATGACACCTTTCAGCTTTGTCTCGTGTTTATCTGCCCCACGGAGAAAAGCAACGTTAGCGGGGGCATGGGGAAGGGATGCGGTGACAGCCACCTGGCCGTGGTGCTGGGGCTGAGCGCTGCCTGGCACACCCAGGGACTCACCCACGTAGTAGGAGACGGTGCGCTTCATGCGGTCAAAGACGAACCAGCGCTTCTTCCAAGACTTGATCTTGCCTCCCATCTTGACCAGGTAGCCCTTGCACATCTTCTCTGTCAGAATGACGTGATAGCACGTGTCCACGCTGTGCCCCGAGGACTCGATGTGCAGCCGCAGGTCAAAATCCTCCTTACGGATCGGGAGGTACCGCGTCAGAGGCCGAGCCTGGGAAAGCAACACCATGCTGCAAACCTCACTGTGCGGGCGCAGTGCACTCATCAGCACCACTGAGCCCAGTGGCAGGTCCCTGCTTGGGGAGAGAGCTGCGGCATCCCAGGAGGAGCTGAGAGCTCTGTCCCCAAGCCCCACACCTGTGAGAAATGTTTCTCCCGCAACTTGACCTCCTTCTCAACCAGCTTCTGCCGGCGGGCCGTCTCATCCTGCAGCCGGCGCTCCAACTGCTCCCGGCGCCGGCGCTCGTCCTCCAGTGCCTGCCGGCGCAGCTCCATCTCCCGCTCCTGCACGTGTAGAGGTGCTCAGGCTTGGGGACCCAATGGATCGGGGACACAGCCCCTGTCCCGCTCCCAGCCTGCTCCCAGGGGTACATCTGCTCACCCGGGACTCCATGAGCCGGGACTTCTCGGCATGTGCCTCCTTCAGCATCTTTTCCATCTCCTCTATCTTCCCTGCGTCCATCCCGCTTGCACTGCAAGACAAGCACAGCTGCCATCCTGCAGACGACTGAACACCGCTGGGTCAGTACACACCCACAGCATAACTCCTGCTGCCCTGCCTGTGCCAGGGCCTGGCTCAGCACAACTCAACGCTGCTGGAGGTTCTCAGGAAACAGCAGCAAAGCCCCTTGGCTGGGGCAAGGACAAGACGCTGGGCCCCATCCCTCCAACAGGGTCAGCCCTGCAGAGCTGGTGCTGGCAGAAGCTGCAGGTGAGCGTGGGATGGAGGATGGTGCCATGAAGGTGTCATAGCAGACAGCCTGCAGCAGGCAGCTCTCATGCAGCACTCAAGCCCCTCCTTGCACAACACAGCAGTGATAAAGAGCCCCTTCACACCCCCTTGTCTCTGCAGTCAGGCTGCACCCCTCAGGTGTGAAGGGAATCCTGGCTCAGCAGGTAGCTACAATGCCTACAGCAAGGACTCTGGGCCAAAGAAGACACGCAGCCTACACTCCTGCACTGCTCAGCCTAGGGCCTACAGCCAGCCCCAGGATTACCTGGACATGTTATCAGGTGAGCAGGCTGAGTTGTTGCCTGTGGAGATGCTGGTCTCCATGCTGTCCGAGCTCTCCAGGCTGAGGGTGTCATATGCGTGGTCCAGCTCCTCGGCCCGTGGGCCCGCACCGTGGGCGTGGTGGTGATGGAGGATGGAGTGATGCATGAGCGGAGGGTAGGATTGGGGGAAGGGGGGCTGCCCGTGCAAGGCTTCCCACTGCGACTGAGCCTCGGCCGCTGCTTTCTGCTTCAGCTCTGCCAGGCGCCGCTTCTGCTCCTCAATCACCTGCTGACCTGCGCCCCGGGAAGAAGGAGAGAGCAGGTCGGCAGGCAGCTGTGGGCCCGCAGGCTCTGCTGCCTGGGCATGGAAGGGCACAGAGCTGCTGCAATGGAATGCCGCACTCAGAGTTTGCCACAGCCCGGCTCAGGGCTGTCCTCAAGAGCCCGGCTCTGGCTCTGCAGCAGCACCATGCCTTGCTGAGCACCACATGCTCAGGAGCTGCACTCCTGGCTCAGCATCCATGGGAATGAAAGGGGTTGAAGTGGGGCAGGGGGAGATGGAGGTGGGCTGCAGCCGTGGCTCTGGTTCGTGAGCAGTAGCACCTGCCAGGAGGAGCTGGGCCCAGGGCTCAGTGAGAGACTGTGCCCTGATGCTGGCCCTGGCTCCTCGGAAGGGCTGGGAGGTTCAACCCAGCGGCCAGGCCCTGCTGCGCTCACAGCTGCCAGAGCTGCGGCAGCTCCCCCGGTGCTCCTCTCCAGGCGCAGGGCTGACATGCGGCACAGCCCTCCCCAGGGAAACACAGCAGCTGCTGTTCCAGGTCAGCACTTGGCACAGGGCCCTGCCTGCGCTCCGACACACGCGGCGATGGCAGCCAAGGAGCGCATGCGTCAGGCTGGCGGGAGCAGGCTGGCAAAGCATTGGCAGGGGAACAGCCTGGGATCGTGCCTGCCAAGCCTAAAGCCCAGCCTCTGGGAGCAGTAGCTCTGGCCTAAAGAATGCTGCAGAGAGGTGCTGGCCATGGCGCAGCCCTGCAGCATGCCTGCTTTCGCCTCTTGTCCCAGAGGCACTGTCTGTCCATGCAGCACAGCATTCAGGAGGATGAGGCAGGACCTGAGCTCCCATGTCCCTGGGGGATGTGAGAGCACTGAGCTTCTCTTAGCTCCTGTGTCGTGCAGAATGCCTGCAGGGGTTGAGGGGTTTGTCCATAAGCCGACACTGACAGCACCCTGGAGTCCTGGCTAGCCATGCCCCCTCCCCATCCACACAGAAGGTATCAGCAAACAGCCATGCTTCTGCCTTGGGGCTACTCTAGGCAATCCGAGCCGCTCCACGTCTCTACCTGGTACATCGCCTGGCTGCAAGGGCTCTGCTGGGAGCGAGTCGGCTGGAGATGCACCGTCAGGCGGAGGGATTGAGGGAAGGGGAGAGAGGGGAAAAGCAAGAGACCGTGAGCAAGGCGCTGTGTCCTGCTGGAGCCTGGCTGCTGCCCACAGGGCTGCCATGGCCCTGGCTGATCCCTCTGCCCTTGGCTGGGTGGGTAGAGACATAGCCAGATTCCCTCCTCTGCCAAGCTGTGCAGAGAAGCTGGACCACCACCACAGCCTGGGCTGCTCTGCGTGTCTGGGAAGAAAGGCATGCCCAGTGGGAGCACAGCCCCATTGAACTGCGGCAGTGTGGAGCTGGCACTCACCCTTCTGCTGCAGGGCCAGCTGGCGTTTGGTCTCGATGTCCTGCAGTGTGGCTGCCAGGTTGCGTGGCAGGCTGCCTGCGTGGCTCGGGGCATGCAGGGGACCCTAGGGCAATACAGCATGTTTTAAGCACCACCCTGTGCACTCAGGATGGGGCTGGTGTCGGGCAGCAGCAGCCCTGCATGGGGCACAGCTCCCACCATGGCCGTACCTTGGGCGAGGGGCTGCGGCCCAGCACGGAGATGTTGAGCTGTGAGGATGACGGGGTGCCACTCTTCATCCGAGGGGTGAGGGCACCAGTGTCACCCTCCATTTTGGCACGATAGACCTGGACACAAAGATGCAGAGGTGAGAAAGGAAAGAGGCTGAAAATTCCCACATCGGGCTGAGAGCTTCAGCTCCAACATCGATACCAGCTCCCACACCACTCCTGCCCTGTGCACGCTGCACATCCTGACAGTGCCCTCGCCATGGTGACAGCTGACGCACCAGCACAGAGTGGTGCTGGAGCGAGTGGTCCCACACTGCTGCAGGCTCCAGTATCCAGCTGAGCACCTGCCAGCTCCCCTGGCCCATAAGCCTCCCCCAGCACAGTGGCACCATACGATCCCCAAGGCCTGAGTTGTAGCCCCATGCAGCTGCAGGGGGAGCAGGGCATTACCTGGAGAGGCTTTTGAGAAGAGTAAGCTTTAGCTGGAAGTGGAGGAGGGGAAGAAGGAGGAGAGACAGGAGATGAGGTCTCAAAGCCAGCCATGACCTCCTGGTACCACTTCTCTAAATCAAGAGCTGGGAGCCATAGTGGGCCCCCTGGAAGCTGCTTCTCCATCTGAAGAGACACCGCGTGAGATAGGAGGGACAGACAGAAACACAGAGACAGAGACACAAAGAGAGTGAGAGATCAGAGCATCACTGCCCTGTGTGGTGCTTGGCCCCAGGTAGCAGGGGCATGGCAGGCGAGGTACAGACCCCAGGGACCCTGGTGACCACTGGATAAGCCCTAGAAGCTCCAGGACACCCCTGCTCATCAGCAGCCCAGCACATGCCAGGCAGAGCTCGGGTTGCTGCCACACAGGTAGCAGAACAGCAAAGTCAGCAGTGGGGCTGCAGCTCGTGGTGTTGTTTGGGCTGTTTCAGCAGCACCCTGGGCACCTCATCCCTTTCTGTATGTGCCCCTCAGCCTGCTAGCACCTCTCTCTGCCCAGGGAATGCTTGGGGATATAGGGAGGGAAATGGGACACAAACCTCTGCGGAGATGGAGGGAGAAGAGAGAGCCGGCAGAGAAGGAGGAAGAGGAGTGCAGCCTGAGGATGAAGAAGCTGGAGGGGCACGGCCCAGTGGGGAACCAGCAGGGGCACTGACACTGCCCAGGATCCCTGAGAGCTGCTCAATGGTCACGTACTGGGCAGAGAGAAGCAAAGTGAGCTGTGAAGAAGGGCTGTGGGCTAGGACAGCCAGGCAGAGATAGGTACAGAGGAGCAAGCAAACAGCGATGGGGAGAAGCCCTCAGAAAAGGTATCAGCATCCCCAGGAGAAAGGGCAGCATGTGGTGACGCTGATGCTGCAGAGCGCAGAGCATGGACCTCAGACATCCTTTCTCCATTCCCTCATCATGCCCCCAGCCCAGGCAGCATGCAGCATGGACAAAGCTCTGCTCCCCCCTGCTCTGTATCCTCCCTGCATAGGTGCAGTGACCACAGCCTGAGAGATCCCCAGAGCCAAAAGGCAAAGGGTTGCCACATTGATCTACCTGCTCCCTGCTCTGCTCCTGAGCTCTGCTCCAGCACTCAGAGGGCGAACCCTGCACGGAGCAGACAAGAAGCGCTCCCTAGCAAGGCTGGGTTGCTCCCACCGCTCCTCCCTGCTCAGCTGCAGCAAAAGAAATTGCCCAGCCTAGGGAAGAGGCGAGCTCTGAGCACTGGGCGCAGGAGGCGGCCACATGGCCAGCCCACCACAGCCCCAGGCAGGCAACCCGAGCATGCTCTAGGGCAGGTACCTCGTTGGCTGCAGGGGGCACAGCAAGCAAGAAAGAGTGTTGAGCAGCAGCGGGAGCAGCAGCAGAAGCTTTAGTGTCCAGGCTGGAGCCGTATGCATTGCTGTAGAACCTGAAAACGTCAGACAGCCTCATGTACTCCTAGAAATCCACGGCGGAGAAGGAGGAGAGTTAGACCTATGTGCTAGCCTCATGGCATTGACCTCAAAACAGGAGCAAACCTCCCCATGCACACACGCGGCCCACCGCTGCCAGCTGAACCCTTCCCTGCTTGCTATCGTCCCCTTCTGCAGCTACCTGAAAGCAGGGCTGGGAATCCCAGCACGATGCCTTTCTGCTGCTTTAAATGCAGCATCACCACACGCTAGAGACAGAAGACTCCAGCCTGTACTGCCACGGCTCCATCAGCCTGAGCCAGGAGTCGCCAAGGTCCCCAGGCACAAGCCATCCATGGCAAGATGGCACCATGGCAATAGAGGTGCCTCAAGCTGCCCCAGCACCACTGCAGGAAGGCAGTTCCTCAGCCAGTGCTAAGCAAAGGCGAAACGTGGGGCATCCACACTGCACCAGGATTAAAGCAGATGGCAGCAGCTCAGCACCAGCCGAGCTGGGTACAGCCCGGAGCAGGAGGAGCATGGCAGGGACAGGCAGCTGGTGTTACCAAGCTCAAGTGTCAGATAGCTAAATGGGGAATAACCTGTCTGCACTGCCTCAGCTTGCTGCTACAGGGTGTGACATGCTGCCTCAAGGCATCATTAGGGTCTGGCACCCACCCCATTGCCAGCAAGGATATCCATACACAGGCTCAGCCCACCCTGCATAGGGCAAGCACGCAAGCACATGCAGTTAGTGCCATTACCTCTTGCATCTTGGGGTAGGAGTGGGCAGAAGGAGAAGCTAAGGAGGCAGCTGCTCCTAGTGGGGGACTCAGGGGCTTAGTTCCCTCCAGCAGCTCATAAGGCTCTGAAATATGGAGGGTTTCCTGTGGGAAGGCAAAGATCACATAGGCGAGGCACGCAGAGGCAGAAGGGTCATAGCAGCAGCAGCAGCCCACATGCCCAGGTAGGCAGTAGGACATTGAGGCACGAGGGCACCCCGCCATCCAGGAGCAGGCTGGGAAGCACTGCAGCCCCAGCTTGGTCAGAGCCAGACTGGAAAGTGCTCTGCAGCTGTGCTATCCCCTCTCCTGAGGGCACCCCGCCATGCCACCCACTAACAACACGGGCTGGCACAGGGCTCCTGCAGTCTGCCCAGGCTCCTGCAGCATCCCAGCAGCCTGACACGGGAGATGCTGCTGCTCCCAAGTCCGCTTATGTTGCATTTCCCTCCCTCCCAACTTGATGTCAGTCCCTGCAGCCCACAGACAAGCCTGGAGTAGTGCAAGTGCCCAGCTTTAGACAGATGGCACTGGGAAGCAGAGGAACTGCTACAGACATAAACTGCAGTGCCCCAGTCTTGTCCCTGGGGATGGGAACAGCCCAGCGCACAGGAGAGCAGCTCTCAGGACAGTGCCCCATCTCCCCAGTTACCTCTTTGAGAGCTGAGGACATCTTTGGGAAGCTCCTGCCACCTGTGACAAGCTGGTACCGTCTCTCCAGAGATGCAAGCTTCTCCTTCTCCTGAGCACACAACAACAAGAGCAGAGAGAGGAGGAAGGTTATCATCATGTGGTGGCCAGGCCCCATCTCACACCTTAACAGCCAACCCCTGCTGCAAGAGGAGGCAGGATCCCCTCTCAGCCTAATCAGCAACATCCGCAAGGTGGGATGCTGCAGTGACCTGTGACCCCCTGGGAGCATTTTGCACGCGCAGGCACCCATGATGCAAGCATGCAAGACCAGGGAGTGTGTGCCAACCCTCTGGCCCTAGATGTAAGCCTTACCTTCTGGAGGAGCCGCAGGACATCGTTCCTCTCCTGGGCCAGGCGTTCAGCCTCCTGGGCACTTTGCAGCCGGATCTGGGCAGCCTGAGCATCCAGTGCAGCCACCCGCTCCTGGGGATGGGCAAGGGCTGAGCTGGCCGTAGGGGAAGCTTGGCAATGTGGCTGGGCTGGGGACAAGGGGTGCTACGGACATGGGGTGCTGGAACATGAGTGCTGAGGAGCAACTCACAAGGACTGCTGCCCTGTGTCCCTACCTTCCTGCGGGCGATGCTGCGGTGGTACTCAGCTCTGCTCTGCAGGAGCTGCTGGCTCCGCGTCTCACGCTCCTCTTCCAGCCGGCTCTCTCTTTCCAGCTGCTGGAACTCCAGGTCCTCAAAGAGCTTGGTTTCCGTCTCCAGGGCCTCTGCTTCCTTCAGACACACAATGGGGTGGCCACTCACTCCCTTGCCTCAGTGCAAAGGTGGTGGAGGAGGCACTGGGCACAGATCCCATGGGATGAGCTTCTCGCAATGGCTGGGAGCTGCATCCAGATCAGCTGCTCCCACCTGATCCCATCCAGCCCACGGTGACGCTCTGCCAGGCTGCAGAGCCAGAAAATGCCCTGTGCTAGCAGCATCACCATTGCCAAGCAGCACGCAGGGAGCATGGCAAGCACCCATGTCACCAAGCTGATGGTAAATCCACCACAGACCAGCACTACAACAGACAAATGCCCTTGACCCCCCAGCCTTCAAATAATGTGGCATCCTGGGATGCTGGCACTCAACTCAGTGTCTGCAAACACCATCCTGGCAGAGCTCTCACTGCAAGAACACACTTCCCATGCCCCAGGAAAGGGACCACCACCACTCCATGGCCACATAGAGTGCAGTGCACGCAGGGCAGCTGCCGGGGCTCCTGCACACCAGGACCACTGAGCATCCCTGAGCATCCCATCACATTCTGCGGGCAGCACCTGCTATCACCAGACCCATGTCAAATGCAGGAGCATCCACCACCAACCTGGAAAGGGGACGCAAGCAGTTGTGTGCTAGAGCTGTGCAGCGAGGGCTGCTCCAGCCACAGACTGAGGAGAGCCAGCAGCTACCAGAAAATACCAGATAATGGGAAAAAATGCTGCAGACCGATGCTAACATAAACTGACAGTGCTGTGTAAATAAACACTCGCAGGAAATAGCTGGAAGCACACACACACAGGGACACGGAGTTCCCTGGCGCTCCCCTCTCGAGAGGCAGCCTGGGGACGGCACCCTGGGAGAACAGGGACCAACTTCCACAGGCAGTGCCCAGCCGGACACACGGACACAGCGACGCCTCCACACCTCGGAGATGCTCAGCATCTGGACGCAGAGCACTGCAGCTCGTGGGCAGGCGGGCAGGGCACAGCCCGGCTCTGTGAGCCACGTGTGGGGCGGATCCCATTGCACGGGGTCAAGAAGGACCCCAGCAGAGGACACCACGCTCAACGTGGGGCTGTGCTGCGGGGCACACGGCTCCTCCTCAGCACGCTTGGGGCAGATCCGTGCTCGTGCCCTGCCCGGTCCGGAGCCAGCACCGTGCCATGGGGCCGGGTGAGCAGCAAGCTTACCAACACGGCGCCAGCCTCCTCCGGCCCGGCTGCGATGCTCTCAGTGCGGCCCCAGCTGCCAGGGAAGAGCTGGCCTAAGCTGGAGCGGAGGGAGGTGGGCCATGGTCCAGGAGGGGTGGGGGTGAGACACTGACCCTTCGCATCTGCTCCCGCAACTGCTCCCGCATTGACTCAGGGCAGTTATCAAGGTGGCTCTTCGACTCATTGTAAAGCGCCCGGAGTTTCTCTAGCTCCTTCCTTTCAGCATCAATCTTTGCCCTTTCCTAAATTAGGGGAGAACAAAACAGAACGAAAACAAAACAAAACAAAACAAACAAACAAAAACAAACAGAAAAGGGAAACAAAAAAAAAAAAAAAGAGAGAAAACACACTTCTCAAATCCACGCCATGCAGAAGCTGCAGGATTAGACAGGGGTCAGCCAGAGAGGGGCATTTACCAAGAGACTGAGAGAGCAAAAGCTGTGAGAACCCTGGGCTGGGCAGTGTTACAGAGGTTATGACCAGCCCTGGACCTCTGTCTCGTGTTTCCATGCCAAAGACTTAAGGACAGTGGAAAGATCAATGTTGACCTGGCTTTGCAACTTGGGTTAAGTCATCCTAATCCTGCACATTGCCATCAAAGGACTCCAGGAGCTGCCAGAGGCCCTTGCTTTACCACACAGACATCCTCACAACCACCACCAGAGCCTTCTGTTAACGTGCCCAAAACCCAGGATGCTGCTGGCAGCCAGAGCAGCTCCAATGCAGTGGCGATGTGGCCGCTGTGCATCTCTGCAGCAGCGTGGCTGCCTGGTGGGCAATAGGAGACCAAAGTCTGTGCTGTCCTTGTGGAGCTGCTTGGGCTGTTCTTCAGCACGTTAGTGGCAGGGCAGATGCACAACAAATGCTTGTTTCTGTCCACAGTCCGTGCAGCCAGAGACACCCGGCTGGCAGGGCACCACATGTAACCCCAGTTTGAGCTGCTGAAAGCAGGGAGCCCAAAAAGGACTGGGAATCTCAGCTTTCTGCCTGCAGGCTTTCTGCCAGGACAACCCCCTGGCACATCAGACTGTGCACTGCTGCATTTTTGTGCATTGCTCAAACAAGGAAAGCCCCATCCTTGCTGGAACATTACTTAGAAATCCTGAAAATTCCTGCAATCCTGGGAAGGAATCTTGTCCATGAGTATTTTGCCTCAAGGTCTTGTCTCACAAGCACCTTTGCTCACTTGGGCTTCTACTGCATTTGCTGCTGCCCAGCATTCAGGTAACAGCACTGTGTTGTCTGTGTATGTGCCTACATCGTCCCCCTCTGAGGACTGTCCTTGCACACCAAAGCAGCCACATCTCAGTGGCAATGGCTCTGGTGGCACCAGCATGTCCCACAGCTGCCCCTGCCCTTCTCCCACTTGGCACTGAAGACACATCCCTGGAGTGGTGCAGGATCTCCCCACCCCCTTGGGGAGCTGATTCCTGCTCCCTCCAGCACAGGAGCACAGTGAGCCGAGGCCGTCCCTCCCTCCTGGGCACAGATGTGGGGGCAAAGTGGACAGAGGATGCAGAGGTGGATGGGACGTGCTGCTGCCCCACGCTCCAGACCTGGCTGTGAGTGGGGAGAGCAGAGGTGTCAGAGGTTAGTGACAGAGCTCAGAGCAGCCACTGTTAGAGCCAGTTAGTGCAGACTGAATAGGAAAGCAGGTGGTTAAGTCAACTGAGACTCTGGGAATGAGGCTTCTTTTTGCTCCTCTCCTAGCGCTGCACAACGCAGTCTTTCACTAGAGAAAACGCCTGCAAACCGTCAGAAAATCAAAAACAAACCACAAATCCCCAGCGCTGCAGCAGTGCTGCTGGGTGTGCTGGTGGCAGCTCAGCCCCACACGGCCCCAGTTGCACACAGGCACTGAGCAAAGCACGTCGGGGTCTCACAGCCTGAGACCAATTGCAGGGAGGCGAGACGTGGTCTGCCCTCCCACCAGGACTGCAAAAAGAATCCAGGCCCAGGAAGGAGCAGCAGGAGCACACCTTGCAGCCCGGAGCTGCTGCTCAGCATCCTGCAGGGAGCTCCTGGACAAAGCTGCAAAATGCTCAGAAGAGAGCAACCCAGCCACCTCTAGCATTACAGATGCTCAAGCAGTCACCAGCACTGTGTGTGACCAAAGCATCCCCATGGACAGCAGAGCCAGTGGGCCTGCTGCAAACCTCAGCTTGCAGGAAGGCTGTGAGCTGGGCAGTGCTGAGGCCTCATGGTCAGTGCCTGGGGCAGCCCTGCAGCACCGAGCCTGACAGCGAGACTGACAGCACATCCCCAGCATCTGCCTCTGCCCTCCTCTGGCAGGGCTGAGGGACACCACGCCGATACCAAGCAGACAGACAGACAGAGCCCGGCACAATGTGAACACAGAGAGAGGAGAGAGAAAGGCACTGCCCAGCTCGCTCGCCCATTCCTCTTCCTCCCTCTCTGCACAAACACTGGTGCTCCCATTGCACATGAAGACACCTGGGAAGACCTCATGGAGCTGACACAGCAGCTGTCACCGAATGTCTCTGCAGAATCCAGCCACATGTTCCAGCATGGGAGAACCCCACCAGCGTCATCCCTGCATGTGGGCACCAGCGCAGGGGACAGCATGTCACAGCCCCAAGGGGACAGCCCTGCCTCGGGGCTCACCTTGTCGCGCTCCTTCCGGATGCTGGCGTCCAGGCCGGAGAGCTTCTCCTGCAGCTGCTGCACCACCTCCTGCTCCTGCTGCAGCCGTGCCACCTCTGACTCCCGCTCGCCCTGCAGCAGTGCCCTCTCCATCTCTGCCTGGGGTGACACAGCTGTGTCAGCATGGCTGCTCCAGCCCAATCCGCTACCCAGTGCCCATGTGGGTGCTGCCCAGACCCTCACCTCTCGCGATGTCTCCTGCAGCTGCTGCTCCAGCTCCTTGACGCGGCCTTTCAGCTCATCCAGGCGGCCGAACACGCAGGCTCGCTCCTCTTCCAGCCGCTGTGCCTCCTTGGCGCGTGGGCCCGCCAGTTCCTCGTGCTGCAGAGGGAGCAGGTCAGCACAGCACAGCACGGAACGGCTCAGCCCGGACATCCCCATCCCCTCACCTCGTGGTGTGTGCTCTCGGTGCTGCTGCACTCTTCCTTCAGGTTCTCTTCATCCGACCTCTCCAGGCTCTCCCTCTGCCGCAGCACACCCAGCTCCTCTGCGGCACGGCCCAGCCCTGCTGTGCCCCTTGGTGCCCGCCGGCCAGCATCCGTATGACCAGGCAGCAGCTCAGAGCCGTCTGTCTTGGTGTACTCAGCACAGAGGTTCAGGATGGTCTCCAGGCGCTGCCGCTCCTGCAGGGAGGTTTGGTCAGAGCAGACCTGCAGCACCCATCCCAGTGCCCACAAACGTCCCTCACCAGCATGGCTGCCTGCATTGCTGTGGGGCACAGGGATCACTGCTGTGCCCAGGGAGGGGACGCAGTGCCCATCTGGCAGCAGGGCACATACACACAGACCACAGCGTGACGTGCCAGGACCAACATCCTCACATTGAGGAAGGAAAACTGTTTCTTGGGGAACGTTGGCTGCCAGCAGCTCACCACAGCCACAGCAGCAGGACTTGGGGCACTTCCCTGTTTCCCAGCAGCATCCAGCATCCCCTGTGTGTCACCCTGCCCTGCGTGTCCCACTCCCACGCACCCCGGATCATCACCACCTCCGCACACAGGAAGCGCTTCCTCCAGCTCTGGGCACATCGCCCGTGTCTGGAAGGTCCCAGCTGCCCTGATGGACTTCCAGCACTCTGCACACCGGGGGCTGCGCTGCTCCATGCCCCAGCCCAGTGCACTCAACCAGCCCTGGGCAGCAGTCAGAGCATCGGCCTGCAGTGCATGTGGCATGCCCAGGGCTGGAGACAGACTAATTACAGACAGCAGCCCCGGCTGAACGCCGCGCTGCCTCTGTAAGGGGCTATTTGTAGGTGGTGATTCAGGCTGTCTGCCTGCCGTGACTCAGGACTGAGTAAACAGGGCTTCTGCTGCCCATGCCACAACATGGGGATGGGCAGAGGGCAGGAAGCACCCAGCAGGGTTCTGGATGGCACCTGGGGAGGTGAACACAGCTAGGGCATCTGCAGGGCATCTCAAATCCTCAAGGGTGAGGGCTGTGCCAAACCATCAGCCCAGGGCTCTCCCTGGGGAAACACAGGCGGTACCCCACACCAGCCTTGGCCAGCACTGGGTGCAATGCCGGTGGGGACACACACGTATCTCCTGCACTGCACAGCCCATCAGGGCGAGCCAGGGCCAAGCTGTGCTGCTCTGGCCCCAAGGAGCACTGCCCTGGCCCAGCTGCCCCCACAGTCCCTGGCTGCTCCCAGCAATCCACTGGGCAGCAGGGAGAGACAGATGCACAGGGCAAGCCCCACCCAGGCAGCTGCTCGCTCTATAAAAACTCTATCCCAGTCCCTAAATATAGAGATGCAATGCCCACAGAGCCTCCCAGCAGTCGGCAGCCGGGAACAGCATCTGCACACCAAGCACAGGCAGCCACCGTGTCCCTGCCGAGCCGCAGCCCTGGCAAGGCACGCCTCACTTTGCAAACCCAGGGGCACTAAAAATTACACATCCACAACCGAAGGTAGCCGTGAACATCAGAACAGCACTGCCCCAGGCTGAGCCTGCAGATTTCCTTGGCTGCTGGAAGCAGAGGGGCTTGGTGTGAGGCAGCAGTTCCCCGCACACCAGGGGCACCAACTGCCACTCCAGGCCATAATCTCTCCGGATAAGCTCGAGCCTAGGAGCCTGTTCACATCATTCATAAGCTGCCGTCAGCAAAATCCCCGAGAGAAAAGGCCTACATTTTGAAAACAACAGAAGCTCAAAGCCATTTGCAAAGAGGCCACCTCGCACTCGCCGGGGCTGCCCCCGGCCCCTGCAAGCCTCGGCTCCAGCTGCCAAATCCGGGCCAGGACCCCCTCCCACAGCCAGCAGCCCCCCGCGCCCCTCGGCTCACCAGGCGCTCCATCTCCTGCTCCCGCATCCGCTCCTCGCGCTGCCGCCGGTGGTACTCCAGCAGATCGTCCTCGTTGTCGCTGATCTCGGTGATGCTGTTCTTACGCTCCCGCACGCCCGCCGGCAGCCGCACGTCCCCCGACAGCTTCCTCTGGGCGCGGGGGCTCTGCCGGGGCGAAGGCACGGCCAGGGAGCCCAGGCTGTGTGCGGGGCTGAGGCAGGAGCTGAAGCTGGGCCGGCGTGCGGACGGCTCTGTCGACAGCGGGGACGAGGGGCTCCCGGCCCTGCTGCTCCTCCCGCCCGCGGGGCTCGGCTCCTCGTGGCCCTTGCGCCTGGTTCGGGGGCTTCCAGGGACCTCCCTGCCCAGCCGGGGCTGAGGGGACGGGGCATCCGGGGCCGCCCGGGGGCTGGCGGCTCGGCGCGATAAGGACGGGCTGAGGGGTGGCAGCTCCCGCATGCTCTCCACGTTCCTCCGGGCCGCCCGCGGGCTCTCGGGGGGCTGCAGCCCACGGCCACTCTGGCTGCCGTGCGCCGGTCCCACGGCGTCCGGGAGAAGCCTGGGTGCGGGCTGCCGGCCGGGAGCGGGAGGGTCCCTCGGCTCTCGGAAGGGGCTGGGCGGCCGCTCCTGCAGGGCTGCCCGAACCCGCGGCACCGAGGAGCCCAATGTCCGGGGGGCTGCCCGGGGACTGCCGGGCGGCTGGGAACGAGGACTGCCCGCCCTGTGCTCCTGGAGGGGGTGCGGGACCGCCGGGCTGTCCAGGGCACCCCGCCAGGCGCGGGGGCTCTCCGCCGACCGAGTGTCATTGGGGCCCCCGTAGGGTGGCGGTGGTGGGCGCTGCGGAGGGGGCTGCACGGCGTGGTTGTAGCTGGAGGAGCGGAGCGGCACGACGGGGGGCACGGCCGGGCCCTGCTCCTGGCTGCTGGGCGAGTGGCTCGTGTAGCCGCCGCTGCTGGCGGGCGAGGAGAGCGGGGAGAAGGGCGGCGAGGCGTTCTCGTAGCTGGAGCCCCCCGAGGCGGCACCGGGGCTCAGCGGAGGGGACAGGAGGCAGCGCCCACCCCCGTTCACCATGGCGCAGAGCGGGGACTGCCCGCGGGACGGCGGCTTCTTGCTGGGGGACGCCGGATCCTCCAGCACCAGCGAGTCCATGATGTCCTGCAAGTCCTTCTCGATGGAGCTCACCAGGGAGTTGTGGCTGGGCTCCCGTGCCGGCAGCTGGCGGCTGCCATTCACCAGGGCTTCGGGCTCTGCGGGCAGACGTGGGAGTGGAAGTCAGAGCGGGCAGGGGCACCGTGCTGCCCTGCTCCTGCAGCTTCTGAGCAGCGCAGCTCTGCAGGCAGCCCCTCACCCAGCCCAGCTCTGCTCCACACTGCCTTGCATGGCTTGCAGAGAGCACACTGATGGGGCAGGAGATTGAGGCTGGCACCCAGCTGGCAGACCAAAGCTCAGTTCACTTCCATTAAACTCTCCCTCCCCACAGTGCAAGGCTCCTGCTTGCAAAATCATACCGTGCACAGCCAACCAGGAGGGCACAGGCATGCTGGCATGCAGCCTCCCTGCCTGAGCCCGGCCCGAGGCCGTGGTGTGTCTGGACACAGCTCTGCGTGCCACCGATGTGCTTGTCACTCAAAGGACATGCTAATAACAGCAATGGCTGCTCCTGGACAGTGTCACCACACTGGCATGGGGCAGCACCACATTGGTAGATCTTGAGCTGCCACAGCAAAATAGATAGGCAGCAGCTAACACCAGCATGAGGCCTGACACTGACCTGACCCCTGCTTCATGCGCACCAGGAGTGCAGCCCTGCGGAGAGAGACACCATCAGTCCCACGGCCCAGGTGGGACCCAGAGCAGCAGGCATCATCTCTGCACACGCAGTCCTGCCTGATATCACAGGGACAGAGATACAACCAGGGACCAGAAGGGCAGCAGCTGTGGGCAGCTGCAGGTTGCTCAGGGGACACAGCACCTCCTCAGGTTCTTACTCCCCGTTCCCAGCTGTAGGACCTGATGTTTTCCCGGCCCTCAGCACTGTGCACATGGCACAAATCACACCATGAGTTCACAGCATCCTGCCCTGGTGATAATAAGCAGGGTGCAGCTGCACAGACCCAACAAGCACCAGTGTCTGGTGACTTCCAGTACCCACAGCATCCTGTGCCTGGCACCAGCTGCCACTGGGAAAGGGCAGGGGCTGTCCCAGCACCAAGCAGGTCCCTGCCACCTCCTCAGTGGGGAGGGACCACACTGGGAGCCAGACAGCAGCAAACACTGCTGCTGAAAGCTCCAGCTGTGTCCTGCTCAGGGATGCACAGCCATGGAGACAGTGTGGGGATGGCACGTGGGAGCTGCCAGCCTGGATCAGCACAGCGCCTGTCTCATCCCCCTTCCTGGAGCCAGGCTGGAGGCAGGGACCTCGTGCCTTACAGACAGACACAGCGAGATAAGCAGCTGCTTCAATTAAGTGCTGCAGCCAGGGAAACGGCCTTCACAGCCTCCTTGTAGCCAGCCCTACATGTAAACAGCAGCTCTCAGGCAGCAGGGGGGCCTGCATGCACCCAACAGCCCTACGCTCCTGGGCTGAGCGAGGACTGAGAGCTCTGCCCCAGTAGCAGCACAGCCCCCAGACCCACACACAACAGGGGGCTTGGGTTGGGCAGAAACCTGTTACACTCTTCCCAGGCACCATTTAATAATTAACAGACATCAGCACAGCCACCGGGCTGAGTCATCAGCCAATGAAGGCACCACAGAGCATCCATGAATGGGCATCACAGGAATCCAGATCCCACTGTTATGACCTTGCACAGCCCTATGCTCCCACCCGTACCCAGGAGAACTCCAAACAAGGAGACTCCTAACATCCCCACAGCCCCACCAGGATGAAGAAGGGCCACCTACTTGCTGGCAGTCCATAAAGAGCCGCGGGGCTCCTTCCTCCTGCTGGGATCATGCTCTTCATCCACTTGGCTTCAGCTGGGTGGTTGAAGCGGAGGAAGGTTGCCTGGCCCAGGCAGATGGTGCACCCTGGGGAGAGAGGGGGTTCAGCACTGGGGTGGGGGGGGCACGGCTGGAATCCAGGTCACTGCCCGCCATCCCCACAGCCGGGTGCATCCCGCACAGCTGGGGCCACGCACAGAGCAGGGCTGGCAGCACTCCAGTGCCGCCGCCAGCTGCAGACAAGACAGCTCCTGTCCGCTGTAGGAGAATGCCGCTTCTTGGCCCAAACCCGGAGCCTTCGCAGGGAAGGCTGCCGATTCGCCATCGGGGAGGAATGCAGGGACGGGAGCCAGACTGCGCCAGCCCCAGGGAACAGCAGCAGAGGCTGCAGATGGTCCCTGCTGAGCGCAGGCGGCTCAGACGCTGCGTGTCGCTCCTTGCACGGCTGCACGCTGGGGGACCGGCAGGGCAGTAGGGCCGGGTGGCACAGGGAGGGCAGCAGCCCCACTGAGAGCTGCATTCATTGCTCCGCCACCACCTGGATGCAGCTCAATGTGCAGCAGAGGAAAGTGCTGCCCGCACCCGCCCTGCAAGGGCTGTAAAAGGCGACTCTTCACACACACCGGCGTGTGAAGACAACAGCATCCGGAAGCCACGGTGCCAAAGTCCCACACGTGCAGCAAGCGCAGGGTGCTGGGAGCAGTCAGCACACAGCCAGCCGCCTTCCCCACGGGGCTGCTGCCAGCCAGCACCACGCCGGCGGTGCGAGGCTCCTGCCTGGCAGCCGTGTTGCCGACACACCCCACTTTGAAGCGCCTCCAGGGCCCCAGGGAGAGGCTCACTGCTCGCTGTCAGCTGAAAATCCCTTGCTGGAAGGGATGCATTTTTTGGAGCAGCTGAGCTGGCAGCGTGCAACCCAAGTGCAGCCCCAGCCTCAGCCCCAGCAGAGCAGGTGGGTCCGGATGGAAGGAGCTGGGCTGGGAAATCCCCAGGCAGGCAGCGGGGAGTGGGGGAGCGTGTACAGAGATCACCCTATGCCAGCTATGGTGGAGCAGAAATAACAGGAGAGCACGTGCCGACTCCAGGTCCCACCAGGGAGCTGGCAAAGAGCAGCCCTGTGTGACACCAACACACAGATCAGCTCCAGGCAACACAGATTGCACCAGGTTAAGAGAAGTCCTGCACGTGTTGGGTTCAGCTGGCAGAGCCTCTCAGCACACCGATGTGTCCCCGTGCAGACGGGTCTAACTGACCCATGCTTTTCCAGGAGCTGCTCTTCCCAGAGCAGTGGCCACCAACCTCCTGCTCCGCGACCCCTCTGTGCCCACCCCGAAGGAGCTGTATGTGCTGTTCAGAAAGTGTGGACACGGGGATGTCAACAGCACCCGCACCCATCGCCCATCGGGTCCTTTTCTCCTCCACTCACGCGGCTCTCATTGTTCCCTTGGGTGACCCGCTGTAGCACGCGGTCCCCCCGAAGCACCCAGACACCTTCTGCGGGGGGTACGAGGGAAGATGCGAGGAACATCTTCACTCTGCAGCAGCAGCGGGGCCAAACGGCCCCCGCCCGGCTCCGAGGGGCTCCGCACCGGCCGAGCCCCGCCGCCAGCCGTCCCTCCCCGCCCGGCAGTGCGGGAGCCCCCCCGGCCCGAGGCTCCCAGGCCTTTGTGCGGCTTCCCCGCCCCTGGAGCGCCTCGGATAAATCACCGTCGCTAATGAGAGGCTGTCAAAGGAGCGCAGGATCCGGATTTCTAACTCCGGCGCAACCCGACACCGCGGGCGATGAATGAAATGGCGGATGAAGAAAGTCTGAAAGCAGTCACCGCTGTCGGAGGGGCCGGGCTGCCCGGAGCCGACCCCCGCCCGGAGCCTCCGCCCCGGCTGCCCGCGGAGGCGCGGCGCCCGAAGCCCGACCCGGTGACAGCTCGGCATCGCCCTCTCCCCACGGCCCGGGCCCGACAGACCGATGCAGACAGATGGAGGACGATAAACGAGCGAGACGGCGCTGGCCGCGAGGCGACGGGCGGCAGCTCCGCGGGGCGCCGGCAGCCCGGGGCCGCCAAACAAAGCCCAGAACCGGCGCGGTTCCCTCCGCCCCTCCCGGCGCCCTCCTCGCTGCACCCCCCGCTCCTCCGGGCACGGATACGCGTGGCCGTCCCCCCCCACCGCCGCACCGCGCCGCACTCACCGAGCCCGAGCCGCCCGCTGGCCGCAGCCGCCGCCCGGGCAGCGGGAGCCGCGCACCGGACCGCCCCGGGGAGGAGCCGCACGGGCGGGGCGGCTCCGCGGGGCACGGACTGCGCTCCCGGCGCGGCAGCGTGGGGACCCCGGGACCAGGAAGAGTGATTCACGGACAAAATGGGCAGGCACGGAAAATGTGAGAGCGGCCGTGAGGAAGCCACCCGCTGCGCTCTGCGTCTCGGCGCTGCCCGCGGTCGTGGCCGCTTGGGGTCCCCGCTCCTCTCCCGGGGACCGCCCTGAGCTCCCCCCACGCTCACGGGGTGGCTGTGGAGGGACGATGGGGCCCAAGCCCCTACAGTCACACAGGGCCGTCTGAGAACCCGGGCCCTCTGCTCCTCGCAGACGTCAGCAACAGGTCTTGAGATGGTTTTCTTCGGAGCCAAGACAACCCCCGAAATGTGCCACACCTCCAGCCAGGAGCTGCGGACGCGGGACAGGCAGTGGCAGGATGGTTCTGGGGACGTGTGTGCTATCTGACGGCACGGCCGTGTCCACGACGGCCAGATCCTGCCCAGGATCTGCTAACAGGGATCTATCCATAGCCCTACCTTGAGTGAGGCGCGTGGGCCGCTGGATCATCACACCGTCGATGGTGCAGGCATTGTTGCAGGGGTGCAGAGTGAGCGTCCCTCGCACGTTCTCGATGTAGCAGTGCTCGGGTGCCAGGCCAGGGCCCTGCAGGACGATGTCCTTTGCAGCCGTGCCAATTGTGGTCCTCCCTGCAGAGAGAGAGGCTGAGCATCCCCACTGTCGTGTGGTGAGATGGGTTCCCAGCCATGCTCACAGCGATCCTCCAGGAGCTGCCCCAGGCAAGAAGCAGCTGCCTGGATTGGGGTGCACCCAAAGGTGGGGATGCTCCAGCAGTCAGCACTCACCTTCCTCCAGCGGCAGCAGTGTGATAGCAGTGCTGAGGCGGCCGCTGCCCAGGCTCACCAAGTGCGGTTTCTCTGTCTGCACCTTCAGCCCTTTGCCTGTGTCTATCAGGTCCAGGGGGCTGTTCTGCAAGGATCAGAGCAGGATGGGTCAGTGCTGTGCAGCGCTGTGAGCAGGGGCAGCCCTCACAAGTGTCCTGCTGGGCCCTTCCTGGAGCAAGCAGAGACAGAAGCTGCCTCTGTTCCTGCTGTGCCCCGCACTAACAGGTCATAAATATTTACAGGCTCCTTATCTTTCCACGCCACAGGATGAGAAGGGAGGGGTGCACATAGCACCTGTGGCAGCAGCCTGCTCCTTTGTGCTGCCTGCTCTGGGCTGCTCTGTGCAGCACCTCTCCTGCAAGCACCCATGTGCCTGTGTGTGTATGGTCATGCAGACTGAGGGGTGGAGGCCAGGCAGGGCAAACAGGAGGATGCAGACAGCCCAGGACTCCTTCCCTCCCATGCTGCCAGCCCTGGGGAGCTGCAGCAGGAGTGTGCCCAGGTCAGGTCCCGCAGGGAAGATCCCCGAAGCTTGGGCTGTTTCTAAGAGGATCCGAGGCAGCAGCCACTTAGCTCAATTGGCTTTACTGCCGATCCTGTAATAGGATCGGGGTGAGGAGTGGGTGAGGAGAGCATTGCAGCAGGGCTGGTATGGAGGAGAAGGGCTCCTTGCTGCACTTCCATGCTCCCACAGACGTTCAGTATTGCTGCAGCCAGAATTCTTCACCCTTCCCTGCATTCTCTACCACCAAGGCAGGACCCTGCCATACACTGGGGCAGTGCTGATGGGCACGACTTGCCCTGCCTGCCGCAGCCCTGAGCCTCACCTGGATGATGGTCTGCACCCTGCGGGTTGGGCTGGTGGTGGTCCTGCTGGGAGCCTCCATTGTGTTCGCACGGAGGCGCCTGGTGATGTCAGGCACGGGCTGGGAGAGACAGAAGCGTTGGTATGAGTGCCCGTGTGGGCACAACTGTGCAGGGCTCTGGCTCTGCTGCGCACCCTGTGCTCAACTCCTGTTTCCAGCCTTGCAGCAGCTGCCCAAAGCTGGTGCGCATCCCTGCCCAGCAAGCACAGGCTCCAGCACCTTGGAACACCCGCTTGCATGCTAATCATACGAAGCAGCCACCACGCTGGCACAACTCCACAAATGCTGCAGAACACAGACCCCACTACATACTGGGAGTGGTTGACAGCTGGGCCCTTATGGCCACAGGCAGACACAGCAGAGCAGCATCCAGCTGTTTGCAGCAACATCTGCCTCCGCGCGCAGCAGCTCACAGTGCAGCCCAGCACACCCACACACGCCTGATTCCAGCACCCAGCTGCATGCCTTCATCCCCATCTCTGCACAGGCCGGCAGCAGCCAGATTAGGGGGTGCACGAACTCAGCGCCGCGTCCCCTCCCACTGCCAGCACCCAGAGCCAGCGGGGCAGCAGGGACACGGCTGTCACTGCCCACCCCTCCGTGCAGCCCGGGACTTTCTGGCCGCGCACTCTGCCTCCCACCCTAACCCCAACCCGCTCCTGCCCCTCGAGGGCAGCCCCCAGCAGCAGGCCTGGCCCCTATGACGCACAGACACGGCACGAGGCCAGCAGCCACCCACAGCCTTCCTGTGCACGGGGAGAAACGCGGCCCATGAGCGGCAATTTCCCTCGCCCGGCGCTCACACCGCTTGTTGTGCCGGGACGCTCTGGTTACTAAATTTACCGTCTGCTCCTCACGTCCCTCCCTTCCGCTCAAGCCTGGCTGCATGCAGCTTAACCCTTCCTGGGCAGGCTGGCCCCGCCATGGGAGTGGGCTCATCCTGCTAGGGACCCCGGGGCCAGCTGCTGCTCACGGTGACAGGGTCTTCTCCCTCCCGGCCCCACAGCCTGTGCAGAGCAGCTGAGGCACGTGGGGTGCAGTGTGAGCCCCGGGCTCGGCTCCCCACAGCATCGCTCACAGTGTCCCAGGAGGAGAGGGACAGCACTCCCAGCCCGGCTGGCCCTGAACACAGCTGTGGGGGCGAGCGGGCAGCTATTACACACCACGGAAAAAATGAAATGTTGGAAAACAGCAGGCGTCAGATTCAGGGCTGGGACGGAGCCCAGATTGCTCCGCTCAACGCGAGGGCTCAGTGGTGCTGCAGCAGCACCGCACAGGAGGGCTGTGCCAGCTGACGGGCAGAGCACAGGCACAGCCCCTGGGTACTCGGGAGCAGCTCCACGCTCCCTGTCGGATGCAGACACTGAGCCTCCGCTTTCCCTTACCTGCCACCCGGTCCTGGTGCGGGCGCTGAGCGGGAGCCTCTGCCGCAGAGTCCCCACGGCCCCGACATGCTGGCGGGGCTGCCTACCGCTGCTCATGGGCAGGGGAGCCACGCTCCCCAGCATCGTGAGACCCCACAGCCTACCCACAGCTTCGCCAGCGCCGAGGCCCCGATACGATGTCCGGAGGAAAAGCCAGCGAGGGGCTGGGCTCCGGCATAGGAAGGGAGCGGAGCCAGGGTGGGATCCTGTGCGGGTGTTAACCCTTCCCAGCACGGAGAGCCCCGCCGTACCAGCGTGCAGCTCCCCGGGGGGAGCGGGGGGGGAGCAGCCACAGCCACGCCGCCCCCGTTAGGATCTGCCCCCACTCCCGCCAGCCACCTGCCGCACGACCCTACTCGACCCCGCTGCCCTCAGCCCCATCACCCCGTTGGACCCCATCACGGGTTCCAGCTCTCCCCGTAGCCCACCCTGCTTGGGACGGCTCCTTTCCCCCAGCAGCGCCCTGCCCGTTCCTCACCGGTTCCCGTAGAGGAGACGCCCGCCAGCCCCCGGCCCTCCGCCTGCAGCGCAGCCCCCCGTCCCGCGCAGCCCCGCACACGCAGCCTCAGGCAGAGGAATGCGGGGCGGGAGTGCGACCGCCCCGGCCGGCGCCCCACCTCTGGCGCGGACAAGGCGGCCTTTCTTCTCCCGCCGCAGCCTGCTAAACACGCCGCTTGTTCCCGCCGTGGGAAGAGGCAGAGGCAGCAAATGCCAAAGGGTCGGGCTCAGTTACCGTCAAATAGCAAGCAGTCCCCGTGCCCCCTGCGTGCAGGGCTGCCCTCGGGCTGGCGGCTCCCGGCACGAAGACAAAAGTCCCTTTCTTCCCCGTGAAGGTCCGGGGCCTCACCTGGGCGGACGCCGAGCCCCGCGGCCCCTCCCGCCCGTCCCCACCCAGCGGGCTGCGGGGTGACCCCACTACCGCAGCTGCTTACAGGGGAGATCGGCCCAGGCTGCACGGGGGAGGGCACAGCAGAGCCGAGCGCTGCCCGCATGAAAACGGGGCCGGGGGCAGCCAGGGCCCGGCCGCAGAGGAGTGCCAGCCGTCGGGGGTCCGACGGCCACGTGCGGAGCAGCGGAGCGCTGCGGGATGGGACACAGCAGGGGACTCTGCGTTCTCCCCGTGCACCGCAGTACGGACCTCGCGGGTCCCCGTCTTCTTCCTGCGGTGCCCGAGGGCTCTGCTCGTGGGGACGGGCACCGGGCAGCTCTGCCCCACCCTGGGGAAGCCCGGAGCAGCCCCTCTTGCAGCTGGGCCCGGTGCTCGACGTTCCACCCGGCCGCTCGGATGAGTCAGGGGAGGAAACCGCGCAGCATCCACAGCCTCCGTCCAACTTGGCTGCCTGCTCCCACCGCAGCTGCTAACGCGCTCAGAGAGCTCTCACCCCTTCCCACACCCTCTGCCCCGGCAAACACGCAACCAGCGGCCTTCCCCCCACAGCTGGAGAGGGCGGAAGCAGGGCGGGAGGGGGTAGGGGGCACTCGGGGCCGTCGGGGCGGGGGGGCCGCCCTCAGCCCGGTGCTGCCCTTCGTCGCCGGTGTTCTGGGGGAGCTCATCTGGCGGAGGTGCGGGAGGGGAAGGCAGCCAGCTCCGGGCAGCGAGGTGCCCCGACGGTCCCTGCGTGGGGCAGCCCCTTCCCCCGCCTCCCATCCCACCCCGAGGGGGTGATGGAGGCCGCATCGCGGTTGCTGGGGTAACGCAACGCGCCCGGCAAAAAACATCGGCATAAATCATCCGCAAAGACATCTCCTGCGGGAGCCGAGGAATCCCGGCCGCGCCCGCTGAGCTCAGCGCTGCAGGGAGCGCTCCTGCACCGCCGCTGCGCGTTGGCCGAAGGTTTGCAGCGCCGGGAGGGTCGGCCCGAACTCCTCACCGAGCCCCTCTGGCACCGCTGCAGGGAGGGAGGAGCTCAGCGCCTCGGGACGGCAGCGCGAGGGGAGAACGCTGCCCCGAAGCAGCACCGCAGAGAAAGGGACGTGAGCTCCGCTCAGCCCGGCGGGGAGCAGCACCTCCGCCTCCTCGTGGGCAGCTCGGGCTCTGCAGCACAGCGACGCGGAGCGTCCTGCAGCCATCGCCCGTCTGTCCCATCGTAGAATCATAGAATGGTTTGGGTGGAAGGGAGCTGAAGGCCCCCTGGTGCCGCTCCCTGCAGCGCACAGGGACACCCACAGCTCAGCAGTGCTCACAGCCCCGTCCAGCCTGACCTTGGCTGTCTGCAGGGACGGGGCACCACCGCCTCTCTGGGCAACCTGTGCCAGCGCCTCACCGCCCTCACTGCCAAACCTTCTTCCTCAGCTCCACCTCAATCTCCCCTCTCGTGGTCTGAAGCCATCTCCCCTTCTCCCATCACACAGACCCACTGCAGAGTCCGTCCCCTCCCTTCTCACAGCCCCTTCAGATGCTGACGGGCCGCTCTCAGCTCTCCTTCTCTTGCCTTCTCTTCTCCGTGCTGTTCAGCCCCAGCTCTCGGCCTGTCCTCGCAGGGAGGGCTTCCATCCCTGCCGCCATTTCTGTGTCCCTCCTCTGGCCGCGCTCCAGCAGCTCCCTGTCTCTCCTGCCCTGAGGACTCCACCTGTGGACGCAGTGCTCCAGGTGAGCTGTCACAGCACAGCAGAGGTGCAGGAGCACCTCCCTGCCCTGCTGCCCGCGCTGCTCTGCCTGCAGCCCAGGGTCCGCTGGGCTTTCTGTGCTGCCAGGGCACACTGCTGGCTCATGTCCAGCTGCCCCCCACCAGTACCCCCGGTCCTTTGTGGCAGGGCTGTGCTCTATCCTTACGTCCCCCAGTTGCACTGACAGGGGGTGCTGCCATGACCCAGGTGCAGACCTTGCACTTGGAGCATGCGCTGTTAACTTCTACATCTAGGTGAGACACAATCAGGTTGCTAATGGTCAATATTAGCAATGAACCACAGCCCTGATATGCACTGAGCAAGTTTCTGTTCTCTGCTAACAGACACCTCTTCATCCTCAGAAGAGGCTGAGGGAAGGAAACCTCCCTGCCCTGTCATTCTGCATCACCATGAATCCCTGTTGGTGCCTTGAACGTCTCTCCCCATCTCCACAACACTAAGCCCCCATCCAGACAGTAACAAGCACTCAGTGTTTCTCTCTGCAAGGGATGGTTATTGTTGGGCATAAATAGCACAATTTTACAATAATGGGCTATTACTTCCATCCTATTTCCAATGTGGCTAATTAGCTCATTTGTTTCACTAGGCATAGTTTGATAACAAAGCTTTGCAAGCAGACTAAAGTTAGAGCGACGCTATTAATTAGATTTCAAGCATTTAATAGCTGATCAGCAAATGGTGAGGCTCCCCTGCTGCTCAGCACAGCGCATGGAGGAGGGCCGTGGAAGGTGGGGAGATGAAGCACATGGAGATGTTACCCAAAGTGACTTCAGACTGCTGAGGGTGTTTCCACCAAGTCCCAACCCACTGCTCCTGCATCCACAGCGCTGTGCTGGGAGGGCAGTGATGCTCTGTGCATCCCTGGGGTGCTGAGGCCTTGGGAAAACATTGTTGTCTTGGCCCAGGTCTGATGCCCGGCCTTCAACCTGCAGAGCTTTCTGCCACTGATTTGTGCGAGGCGTTTGCTGATAGCGGGCTGATTGCTTCCTGCAGGCAATTGCAAAGGTGCTTATCTAATGAGTCATTAGGGAAAAATACAAAATAGGAGAAAGTAATTGACTTAGCAGTTCCTGCCAAAGAAAAAAAATGCCTTCTAATTGGAGAATTTTAAGTAGAGCAAACCAGAGCAATTTTAATGACATTAAGCTTAAATTGACAGTGAAATGAGTGAATGCAAAAAAAGCAACAATAAACCAAGTATACACAAACAGAGAGGCACTGCGGGAGGAATGCGGTGAAGCACTCAAAGCTACACGCTCAAAATTCAGACAGAGTTGGGAATGGGGATGATTTCCTCCTTGCCAGGTTAAAAAAATTCCCTAAAAACCACAGAAGAGCAATCCATACATTGCATACAGCACAGCCTGTGCCGCTCCCCGAGGCTCAGAAAATTCCTGTTTTTCTGCACAGCAAATGAAATGAGGTATGAAATGCTGTGTTCTCATTCCTGGCTGCAGGAGGAGCAAACACTTTCCATGGTGTAGGAATTGCTGTGGTGTCTGCTGATAGTAAATATAGCTGGAAATGCTCTCAGTCTAAAGTAGGTCTGTCCTGCACAGCCCTTCATGTGTTTCACTTCTGGAAGAGGGGCACAAAACCAACTCCCATCTCCAGAGCGTCGTCACATCACAAAGAAGTTTTTCTCTCTCACTTTAGGGCAAATCAAGGCATTTCACTTGGCTGAGCACAGCCCACAGGTTGAAAGCAGCTCTCTCACCTGTTAGTAAGGGGTTCTTAAGTCTCATTTGTAAAATCACTCCATTGATCCCAGCAGATAATTGCTTGTTAATAATGCTGTTCCATGAAGTGTTCTGAGCTGTTCTGACACTTTCTTTTGGGGAAGTTTGCAGTGTTTGATGAACTGCTGCTTCCAGTTTGAAAGCCTCACAGGTTTGCTTTGGATCCTTTTGTTCTGCAGTGATGTTTACATGCAAACCATGATCACAGGCATTAAATCACAGTTCAGCTCAAGCTGTTGGTTCCAGAGAGAGAGAGAAAAGCATAGCGGGGATGTGAGAGCAAGAGCTGCACCCCGCAGTGCTGCCAGCCCTCCTGCTCAGACCTTCCTAAAGGCATTGCCCATACCCAGGACCTGCACTGCTCTGGGGGTGTGGGATGCTCCCAGTGCACCGCACTGCCTGGCCCAGGGTGGCAAGAGATGCACACAAGTGTAAATAAATAAAGGTCAGATTACTACTGTGCTCCATTTTTCACCGTGTCACATAAATAACAATAACGTACAATAATAATAGAGCAATATTGCCAGCTACTGGGGGGACTAAACTTCAAATTGATATTTAGTGTGGCTTGGATTAAACATAAATAACAGCTTTATGATTAGAGCCTGAAGTTGTTGCTAATAATGACTGACGCTGCTGCTGCACGGGAAGAATTATAAGCACTTGAGGACAAATGACCTTCCAAAGTGGTGTGAAGTGATGCTGAGCGTTCCCTGCTCCAGGAATGAGGTGGTGGGATTTAACAAGGCCAGGTGCTGCTCCTGGGTCGGGGCAGCG